AATCACCATTTAAATTGTTGAGAACAAATACTGGGCCTATTAGATTGTTATCCACAGTTCCTGCCCAAACATTAACTTTGAAATGTCTTTGGTGATGAGTGGTTATTTGGCGTGAGGATATCACATATTGAGACTAGTTTTGCTTAAGTCTTCTTCTTACTATAATATCACTTGCAGTAGTTAAACGAACACTTAGTAATGGATTTTGTTTGAACTGCCGTTTGATATCTGTTTCGTAATGTTTCCAACGTTCTACAACGATCATCTACAACCGATGATCAAACGTTTCCTTGTTTGTCCTCTTCTGCTTACATACTCTTCAATTTTCTCCAACAACTCACTTTACGGTGGATGGATGATTGTGACTTATCAAACATTGACCAACTTCTTTGTACTTTTGAAATAAGTAAAACAAATCTAAGGAGAAACGAATTCCGACAAGCCAGAATAAATTAACTAATCAATTAAATACAAGCTTGTACTTTGTATCCACAGATAATGCGACTTTAAAATGTAAAATATAGAACAACTAATTTGACATTTTCACATTAAGAACTTTAATAATTCTGGCGTGGAACATCTAAAGCTGTCCATAATTTTCAATTAATTTTAATAAATTAATAAACGTGTTAATTTTTCACATCAATAAATATCTATATCATTAACATAGTTACGTATATTCAAATTTTCGAAAATTTGCATAATTATAGGTACCATTTATTTAATTCTAATGTTACATAACAATTTTTTTATTTTTCGTAGTAAAGGTAGCGATAATGAAAGATAATAGCATAGGTATATAGAGGAATTGCCTAAACTTCTCCATTTTTTTCAATGTTATTATAGTCCATTAACGAATTTCGGTCGAGCTAGCGTTAATGTAACTTTCAAAAAGAAGTGTCTAATTCGTATGTTTAGCTCGGTGGTTCGTAGACCGGTAAATGCAGGAAAGTATATTTACGCTGTTTGTATGTAATTATTTCGGAGTTTTACTTACACGCTTGCTTAATATGTTAATCACAGTTATAGTTAATTTCATGGTGATTCTACTAATGGAAATGATACTATAAAACTTCACCTCTGCAGTTTTAGTTCATTTGATCCATGTACAGTAAAACCTCCCTTAACCGAAACCTTTTTAACCAAAACATCGTTTAATCGAAACGGCTGACAATTTTAATAATTTCGTCAATATAAATTAAATTTTTATCGCAAAACGTAAACAATTCCATTAATTTCACTCTCCTGTTAATGCATATGTGTGTTGGGGAATCAAAATAACCAAGAGCTCTAAAAGATATTTCCGAAAAAGTACTTCCAGTTTTTTTAGAAGCCAATGGATGTCGACCACTTTATTTTCAGAATTGTTGAAAATGAATTTGAAATGAAAATGAAGTGTAAAATTCTTTTTAAAGTCAAAAAACCTTTCCATCAAAGCATTGTTGCTCCTTGACAATGCGCCAACTTACCCTCAAAATCTACAAAATGGTGACAATTGTCAGATTTTTGGCACCGAATGTCACGAGCTTAATTCAGCCGTTAGACCAGGGACTTATAGAGACATTCAAGAGACATTATAGAGGAACATTCTTAAGACATCTGTTATTACAGGAGACGAATGAATCCAAAAGTGTTCCCGAAATTCTCAAATCTTTAACAATGAAACATGTTGTTTATTGGTGTGTTGAGTCGTGGGCCAAGATCAAATCTTCAACTGGGGAAAATGCTGGAACAAACTTTTTGATGGGATTTTGATTGACGATTCTGAAGAAGAAAATGGTAAAGACGATTTGAAGGAGAAATCATCCTGTTGCCACGTATCCCAATAATACCCTCTCACAAATCCACAAATTTTAAGACCAGACAATGTCCGTTTGTAGTGTGGATTTAGAGAATCCATGTTTATACCATGGTCAATTATATGTTGCATACTCACGTGTTGGTAAACCATCAAATTGATTTATTTTAACAAAAAACAAATTACGGAAAAATATTGTACACCAATTAGCGGTTAATTGAATGGTAATTAATTGGTATAATCTAGAATTATATAATTATTTGAAGTAAACATCAAACTATTTATACCAATATCATGGAACTTGATTATATAAACTTAAAAACCAAAATTTTTTGGTGGATTATGTTTAATTGCTAATATCATAAATTTTATTTTTTGACGCTAACCTCTAACAGCTCTTATTATGGATTTCATGATATTTACTTAACTTTGCTTAATCTTAACTTGGTACCAAACGTGATTCCCAATCCTTCCCATTACAGAATGTATCTAGAGATTACCACTTAACTTCCAGTATCCTGCCAGTAACTATCAAAAAGTAGGTTCGTCTTAATTGTTTAATGGCGCTCAAAACGTTTGTTGTCATCTCATTATATGACACAGTTTGACCTAGTGACGTAAGCGCTCCAATACATAGCGGCAAATGCATAAACTAATAGGTAAAAAAGAAATAAAATACAATCAATTTGAGTAAATCTTATTTTATTTCTTTTTTACTTGTTTGAAATGGACTCACACAGGCAACACATTCATGATTTACATAAACTAATGTTTAAAGGTATTCCTTTAAACATTAGGTAACATTGAAGAATCAGGAAGGCTACGGATTCGCTTTGGGACCGGGGTCCAAACTTTCCTCTATTAATTTGAAAACACTTTGTATAATTTCATTTCTAATGCAATGTTTCAAAATTTATGTCAATTTAAAAATATTACCAATTAACGATATATACTTCAGCAATTAATAATTTCTAGTAAAAGCCATTAATATTTTTTTTGCCTTAATTGTAGTGTGAACCTTGCATCACCTATGCTTGCATGATGGTGGATTGTTAAAAGTACTGACTAATGATGAGTAATTTTGTAATAGTAATATAATTTTACCAGCGACCTGAATATTCAGTGTATACTGATATTACTTAAAAAATACATTAACATTTAATATTGTTATATATTGTTCACATGTTCCAATAAATCAACTTCTTAATAATAACAGATACTTAAAAACAAGTTGCTAATTTGATATATTTTCCTAAACCAACATTATCGTGGCACTTATAATGCAAAAATAATTAATGAATTAAATACAGCTGATTTAACATCTACATACTTCGTTAAAAAAAAACTCTCCACCACTTGCAAGAGCAATTATAACTTGCAACGAACTGAAGTTAATAAATTCCCCTTGTAATCTTATCTGGGAATCGTTGGATATACCACATCTAACAAGTGTTCTAGCTACAAATATTATTATCCCAAAATACCAAAACGAATTTTGCTGCACTACTCTTAAAGAAATCTTAAGTGGCTATTCAGATCATATTGTGATCTATACAGACGGGTCAAAATCACCAACATGTACAACCAGTGCTTACTTTGTACCAAAAATAAAGATTAAAAAATCATTTATTTTAAATAATCAATCCAGCATTTTTTCTGCTGAAGCGTGTGCTATATACAAAGCCCTTGAATTGTGCTGTGAAAACCAGTGGAACAAAATTGTCATATGCAGCGATTCACTGTCAGTATTGCACTCCTTACAAAACTTTAAATTCACAATCAATAGCAATATATTCATATTAGAAATTTTTCAACAGTTACTAAAACTATCAGATCCATATGTACTAAATTTCTATGGGTCAAGGGACACTCAGATATTGTTGGCAATACTATTGCTGATTCTATAGCTAAAAATCCATTACAGCACTCACATATGGTGATAGAAGAATTTAACACATGTGACCTACTTGCCTATATCAAACAACATATTAAATTTAAATGGGACAGACAATGGATTCAGTTTGGTGAAAGCAGGGCACTAATTTATACAAATTACAACCCACAGTAGATGTAAAACAATTTTACAAAGATGTTACACTAAGCAGAAACACAGTGTCAACTGTCTTAAGATTAAAAGTAGATCATGGATGTTTTCCGAAACATCTACACAAAATAGGTGTTCTCCCAACAGACCGATGTGAGTGTGGAACTAGTATAGCTGATTTAAATCACATATTCTTCAACTGCTTAATACATCGTCAATACAAGCACGTGGCTGATAAAAGAATTGATAAAAGAGGGATTAAGTACACCTTCATTAAACGTAAATCTCCTATTAAGTGAAGACAATATAAAAATCTTTAAAATAATTATGATATTTCTTGTAAAAATTAAATTAAAGGTATGAGTGTAAAATTGATCGTATGCTTGAACATTTCCTTTGTATGTTTACCATATATGTTGCCCACCTACCTAACCGTGGTTTATGTCTTGTTTGTTACAATAAAGCCGCTCTGATGAATCCCTGAGCGCGAAAAGTGTCCTCCTTGTACAATCCTGTATGAATGAATACTAATATTTATATGTAATTACGTGGCTAAAGGTTTCAAGCCAAAGCCAATTAAAAAAAAAATTTATATATAAACATGTGGCAAACAAAACATCTCACTTGGTGGTTCTTAAACAGAGTTGCTTTTGTAGTGGTCTCATTAGTTAGTTACCAAAACTCTAATTACTGATTTAAAAGTTATTAGAAGCTTTTTTAGAAGTTCGCAAGTGACTTACGTTAACGTGAATAACAAACAAAATGGAAGGAAACTAACATCTGTAATAAGCACACATTTTTTCAGATATTTGCTGCAAGAAGGATGCAGCATCTTCTGTTTATTTTTTTACCTATTAATTCAAAATATAATGAGTACAAAAAAAATCTAAAACCTCTTTTTAATCCAGTAAAACTTTGTCCCTTATTTACAAAAATAATAATAATAAAATAAACAGTTTTTTTTTCTCAAAATTATAAAAAGTGGAGCTACATTTTTTCTGCAGCAAGGTCCTTAGTTCTCTTCTTTAATTTCTGACCAGCAAGATTTAAATTAGGTTAGCCATTGCCGTTGCTAAGGAGCTTCGTGGATCTTTGTGGATTAACACAAGTTTACAATTATTTTTAAATATGTTGTACATACTTATCTTTTTGTTTTAGATCAAACATGTCTGAGGTAGACGTCCAGTCAGAATTGGATCTCGGTGAACCTCCGCAAGAATTGCTGGATTGGGCGCTAGAGAATCTCAATGAAGATCCAGAGACTAGGGAACAAGTTCTGCAAGATTTTAGGGATATGATTTTCGGTAAGACAATTTTCTATACTCATATTATTTATTACTCTATAGTAATATATATATATAGTATATAAACATCAGATTATTAACAACATCAGATATGCAGATGACACTGCGATCATGGCTGAAAGTATAGAAGATCTTCAATTCCTTATAGATCGAACCGAGTCACGAAATCCGAATAAGGAAATTAAAACTCGCATAGAAATTACAAGAGGAGCATTTATGAAACTTAGATCTATTCTGAGCAATTCTGCGCTGAACTTACAGCTAAGAATTAAGTTTCCTAAAATGTTATGTGTATCCTGTATTATTGTACGGATGTGAAACCTGGATAATGAAGTACATGATGAACAAATTAGAAGCCTTCGAGATGTGGTTTTATCGTTCTTCTTCTTCTTCTTACGGTGCCTATCCGTTCCGGATGTTGGCGATCAACATGGCTATCCTAACTTTGCTTGCTGCTATTCTGAATAGTCCGGTTGTCGATGTATTAAACCACTTTCTTAGGATTTGAAGCCAAGATATTCTTCTTTCCCTGGTCCTCTCTTTCCAAATACCTTGCCCTGAAGAATGAGTTGCAACAAGCCGTATCTCTGTTCATTCCTCATAACATGGCCAAGATATTCTAGTTTGCGCTCTTTGATGGTGTTAATAATCTCGCATTCCTTGCCTATTCTACGTAGGACCTCAACATTAGTCACACGATCCACCCATGAAATTCTTAAGATACGTCTGTAACACCACATCTCGAATGCCTCGAGTTTCTTAAGGAACTTCGAAAGTGTCCCGGCTCTACTCCGTATAATAAGGTAGAAAATACATAGCATCTAATGAGAGAGATTTGGTAGCAAGTGGTAAATCATGACTTCTGAAAAGAGACTTTCATCATTATAAACGCTGATCTCGCTTTTCCTATGCGTTGTTTTATTTCACTGGAGAGAAAAAAATAACTATTGGCTGTTTAATGTTGGTACCAAGGATGTGTAGCTGTCCACTCTGTCAATTGGTGTTGGTTAACCAAAAGCTGTGTATTTAATATGTCGCGCTTACTGAACGCTTACTACGGTTTTATTGTAGAATGCTCTAAATATCATGGTTTAACACATTTTAAACAGAGAAGTCTTGAACAGAGTAGGTCAAGGCGAAGGTGACTTAATAAAGTTGATAAAAAAGAGAAAACTCGAATATCTGGGGTATATAAGAGGAAGCAGATGCAGGTTAATGCAGTTGATAGTCAACGGAAAGATCGACGGAAATAGAGGAGTTGGTAGGAAGAAATACTCATGGCTCCAAAACCTTCGTCAATGAACTGGCTTATCAGCAGATGAAAAGAAGATCTAAACATTACATTTCTCCATAAGGTTTTTGAGTCAACAATAACCTTCTTCACTGACATATCCTGTCCAAACCTCTTAGAGCTTCTTTGGTCTTTTAACTCTCAGGAACTTGCAAATCAGCAATCAACTTTTATAGTAATTAACGTCACATGAACTACTTAACCTATGCTATCTCATGATGGAATCAATTGGTGCCATCAAAAGGCATCAAAATGCTGTAAACCGATATTATTTTGATTTTCTTACTAGTAAACGGCGTATTTGATTTACACCTCGTACAATCCTGATATCATATTACATTTATTACTCACCCTCCTCAATTTCTTGTCAAAATCAGCACACATTAAGCACCAGGAAATGTTCGCCTGTATGTATGTTCTTCCTGTTATGTGATGTCTGGTAACCTAGTGTAAAAACTTATTTTCTTCAGCATGCTTTCAATTATTTTATATCTATATTGCAGATAACAACAATAACTGATTATAAATGGGCGTGGTATTTTCTCCAGAAATTTATATTCACCTTACAACTTTATTGCGATACGCTAGATCTGCATTGTCAACGTAAATTTATTAAATAAAGTTAAAAAAGTTATGAACCGGAACGAATAGCGGTTTGAGATCATAGCCGTAGGCCGGATCGTGATTAATAAATATTTAATTCTTTTTACTTTGATTTCAGAAAGAGGTGAATGTATTCCTCATAGGACGGACGACGCATTTTTGTTACGATTTCTTAGAGCGAGACATTTTGTTATAGGCAGAGCACATAGACTGGTAAGTTTTTATAGAATTTAATAGAATTGGGAAACCAATAAAAATTTTATGATAAACGAAGTAAAAAAAAGGTTGTAATAGTACTGACTATGTATGATTGACCTTGGAAAATATAAATATATAATATAAAAAATGTATCAAGATCACTAATATCCGATACTACAACACCGTTATCAAACCCTCCTTCTTATATGCAAGCGAGATACAAACCCTCAACAAAAAATACAAACTGGAAGACATAAAAAACAAGAAAGAAAAATAGTCATCGGTGCTAGATAAACAGAAGATGGATATAGATTACCATCGAACAAAACTTTAAGAGTGTGTTTTCTTGCAGTTGTTGATAGAATGTATCTTTTTATTGTACTGATGTATCTGCACTATGGGCAGAATTTTGCGCCTAATATAGTAATTTTGTGTCCGTAAATGTTAAGATTCGCAGTATGGTTATGTATATCGGGGGGGGGGGCATTTATGAGCCTTTCAGACACTTAGACCTCTGACAGGTCCATTGTATCACCCCTATCATACGGAATAAGTTCATAAGAACCTAGTCGTCGGCGTTTCTGGGATCCAGGCTACTCCTTGCTTCCATTGTCCAATCCTTTAGTAGCCTTGTGGCCTCACAGAAAGTCACAAGTTTCTTCAAGGATAACTCCCTCATTTGGCTCGGTTGCATAAAGACTGAACCTAGGATCTGCCACCTCTGATATGTCAGTGCCTGGCACTTGAGCCATCCGCCAATCCAAGCAGATGAAAGTGACGCCTGAGTCTGTAGTGGCCGGTAAGCATACTGACCACCCAAGAGCATCTTTTACGGTCTAGAAGAAGAAGTTGGGCTGTAAGCCTTTTGTATGGTCCCACTACGCGGAACCTAGCCTATCTTATGCCTCCACAACTGACCCAAGAGTCCTGAAACCTCCACAGAAAAAGCTCGTTAAGATTACCCCGACCAGTACTAAAGATTACTCATACCAAGTTAGCCCTATTAGTCCTCGCAACATGAGCAGGTGCTCCATTGCGCTCAAGAACCAGCTTAGAGCTGATTTTGTGCGCTTCCAAAGCCCTTAGCACTGCTTGACTGTCAGATCAGATAGAGATGGTCCTGCCTGAACAAGCCCATTATCTCCTGAGCACATACTAGGACCGCAAAAATCTCGGCCTGAGAGACTAATGTAAATCTAAACAATTAGTTTGGCTGGGACAAATAAACCATTATTAACTAATCATATCTATTATACATGAAAAAAATATAAAATTTACCTATTACTGTTAAATTAAAATATCCCTTTCCTTAATATCCTTGCGTCTTTAGGATCATTGAATACAATCATATCTGCTTCATCTGCAGTCGATCGTCCTCTATAACCCTAGACAAGGGATCCTTACAGAGTGCTATCAGACGAGCCAGTTACTTGGTCATTGTATATATAACTCCTCTTTTTTCCGAACTTAAGTCCGACTGTATCGGTTGTTGTGCTACTCGGTTTACTCCACTACTAACACCGGCAGAGTTTGCGGGTTTTCTATTGAATAAAAGAAAGTAAAGAGGTAGTTTGTTAGTTTTTTACTTGATTTAATTATGTGCATATAAAGATATTTAATATTCGTCTAATTTTCTGCATTTTAGTTTGTTAATTACTATGACTTTAAAGAAAACAACCCAGAATTCTTCAAAGATGTTAGTTTAAAGCATATGCTTAAAATGGGAGACGATAACATCATCACAGTTCCCCCATACAGAGAACAAAATGGTAGACGGATTTTACTATATAGGTGGGGTAAGTTGACTTATTTTTACTTCCATTGTTCGCTGTTTTTTATTGCCTGTTCTTGCTGAATCTTTATTGTAAGTTTAAGTTAGGGTTGAGTTTACCGAAAGTACAAGCTGATTATAGCCGCAAATATCAAACAAAAAAAATCGGTGAATCAAAGTGAAGCTCAAAAAAGTCCAAGAAAGCCCCAAAACACCAAAATTAAATATCTCAATATCCAACAAAACGTTAATAGAAAATGACTTAAACAATGAGCTAAAGAAATCAATAAATGAAAACAACACAGAAATATGGAACACATTTAAAGATCTTACCTTGAAAGTAATAGAAAAATATTCAACAACGTTATACAGGCACAAAAAACAACAATGGATGACTGATGAAATCCTGGAATTAATGAAGCAGAGAAGGAAACTGAAAGGTAACAAGAGAGAATATAAGGAAAAACAGAAACTGATTAAACAAAAAATAAAGGTGGCTAAAGAAAAATGGATGGAGGATAAATGCAAGAAATTAGAAAAGTTGAATGAAAAACATGATACGTTTAACATGTTTAAAAAAGTTAGAGAAGTACCTGGTCTTTATCATAAGAAAACTCTACATACTATAACCGATTCGTCGGGAAAAATGATAATAGACGAACATGAAATTCAAACAACCTGGTGTAATTATATAAGTGAACTGTATAATGATGATAGACCCGAAGAACCGGAGACTTTAGTTGAAGGTGAAGGACCAGAAATACTAAAATCAGAAATACTGCATGCTATAAAGTTAGCATAGAATGAAAGTTAGCAATGATGTTTATTCGACTGGTGATATCCCTGAAGATCGGTTAAAGTCCGAATTCATAACACTACCAAAAAAACAACGTCCGAAAAACTGTAGCGATTATAGAATGATAAGCCTTATGAGCCACACTTTGAAAATATTTCTACGCATCATCCACAGTAGAATCAGAGATAAATGTGAAGAAGATCAGGATGAAACACAATTTGGCTTCAGAAATTTATTGACTATGAAAAGGCCTTTGATCGAGTACAGCATCACAAATTAATTACAATATTAAAAGATAAGGGAGTTGATAGTCAAGACATACGATTCATAGAAAAGTTATACTGGCGTCAAACAGCGACAGCTTGCATAAACGGAAAATCAACAGAAATATGTAAAATACAAAGAGGTGTCAGACATGGTTGTATACTATACTCACTGTTATTTAATTTATATTCAGATAGAATATTTAAAGATGCGCTGCATAATTTGGAACGGGGAGTGAAAGTTAATGGAATTCTGATAAATACAATCAGATATGCAGACGATACAGTTATTTTAAGTGATGACATGAATGGATTACAATGCCTTTTAAATGCCATTGATACAGTGGGAAGAGAGTTTGGCCTAAACATAAACTGTGCAAAAACAAAACACATGGTGTTTAGCCGTTTAGCACATCAAGATGCACGATTATATGTTGATGGTCATATAATTCAAAGAGTGTCCAGTTTTAAATATCTTGGTTGCAATATTACTGAACAACTAGATCCAGATCAAGAGATAAAATGTAGAATTGAGATAGCCCGCAAGACATTTTTAAAAATGAGGTCATTCTTCTGTAATGATAACTTGCAACTTCAACTTCGAAAGCGCATGGTTAAATGCTACATTTGGTCAGTCTTCTTATACAGCGTCGAAGCATGGACATTAAAAATATCCACCATTCATCGTCTGGAGGCCTTTGAAATGTGGCTGCACAGACGTATACTAAAAATTCCATGGACGGCTATGCTGACAAATGTGGTAGTCCTTGAGAGAGCAAATGCTGCTCGCGAGCTGCTTGATAACATCAAATGTAGAAAGATGGCCTATTTTGGACACGTAGTAAGGGATGACCGATATAATATTCTTTAACTTTTATGATGGGTAAAATCGAAGGACGCTGAGGAATTGGTAGAAAGCAGGCCTCTTGGTTGAAGAATATCAGGGAGTGGACAGGAAGAAAGAAAGCTGAGCAACTATTTAGAATAGCTCGAGACAGAGACAGTTTCGCCATGTTAATCGCTAACGTCAAGGAGACTTGATAGGGCACGTTAAGAAGAAGAATAGCAGTGTTGGCATATTTTTATAATGTAGATGCTGTATACTTCAAATATAAAATATAAATCTTTAGAAAAGTACATTTTGTTTATTATGTGATGAATTCTGCAATGTTTGATTTATATAAAATAACAATGAGTAAATATTTGTTTCTTTGGAGATTAATTGCATTTAATTATTGGACATTTTTTTAGCAATTACCCTTTGATAGATTAGGGCTTGATTAGGTGATAGATTTGGCAATCGTCAAATCAGCAGTTGCCAGATTACAAAAGATGTTTTCAATTAATCTCGAAAGAGACAAATGTTTACCCGTTATTACTTCATATAAATTAAAAATTACAAAATTCATAAAATAGTATAATCAAAATGTACTTTTTAAATTTGTAATTTTTTTTGAGACTTTTTAAAATCTCTTTATATTTGAAGCATACAGAATATGCATTATAAAAACATGCCAACAATGCCTAACCGAAATATTTGTGACATTTGCGGCTATCTTCATCTTGTACTTTCGGTACCCTCAACTTTAAGTTAGTATAATAGCGTACCTGTACGCAAACTAGCAGATGTATATAGCTTTCAGAATCTTTAATTAGTTTTCGACAGCAGGTATATTACTAAATTTTCTCATGTGTGTTGTATACGTATAAAAATAGTGCGATTTTAGTTTGATGATTTTGTTTCAGCTGTATTAGTAAGTTTATTTGAGACTATAACATTTGTAAAAAATAAACGTGAGAGAATTGTGCAGTTTTGACTGCTAAAAATCTTACCGTGAGACAGTTGTGTGCTCAGCTCGAGAAACGAGACGAAGATTATAGAAAGTCTTTTAAAAACAACTAAAATAAATCATCATCAACAATTCAAGTACTTGTACATGATTAATCTTGATATGTTTCGTTGTCCTGTACTTGTTTTGTACTAACCATGAATTTGGTCTCTTGAAATGACAGAAAATGGGTGTGACCAGCAGGATTAGAAAAAGGGGATATCAAAAGATATTTTCTCCTTGTGACCTGCTCGATTATCTTGCGTTGGCTATCAAATTGGCTGTACTAATTTTGTTGACGGCAGCTCGGTGAAGGAATGCAGAGGATCTGTTAAACCATTCTCTCAGATTCTTAAGCCATGGCGCTCGTCTTCGCCTTGGCCCACTTCTTCCATCTATCTTGCCTTGTATTATTAAATAAAGTATATTATACCATATGTTTACGTTTGCCACCATAACCGCTAACCTCCATTGATGGAGACGGCACTTGAAGAAGAAGATATTATACCATAAATGAAGTATGAAGTATATTATATCTCTTTGAGAAGAAAAAAAATTCTTATTTTTAAACACAACCGATTTGGTTTTTTTTTGTTTAATTATTTATCAGTATAAGTAGGTATTTTGTTTTTTATCAAGTGGTTAACAAAAATATGATTTTGCTATTATTTTAGGTAATTGGGATCCAGCCAAATTTTCGGTAGATGAAGTTTTTCAAGCCACTATGTTAGTATTAGAACTGGCGATACTTGAACAAAGAGCTCAAATTCTAGGTGGAATCGGCATGTGGGACCTCGGTGGTCTCTCCTTAAAACAAGCATGGCAAATGACGCCATCTATAGCCAGTAAAGTTGTACAAATCATGGTGGTAAGTAATCTTTTTACTATTATCAAATAGTATTTATTAGACTTTGTTTTTCGATGATTTTAAAGTTTCGTATTTGACGAAATGAACAATAAACCATTCTGTTCCCATCATTTCATCATTGATTTCCTTATTTTTTCTGTACCCAGTATTTTTAACTTTTAGCGCTTTCCTGATATGATCCATGATATTTTTAGAGACTCTTCGTTATATTTTAGCAAATTTTGAGGTTTTTCAATTATTTACTTTTATTCTATTTTTTATATCATTTAATTTATTGGTATTTTTGCCAGGTAATATTTCGGACAGGTTCCAACGCTATGTACCTCTCTAACCGTGTTTCAAGTAGCTGGTGTCGAGCACACGCTAGCCCAGGGGGACCGACGGCTTAACGTGCCCTCCGAAACACGGTGAACGACTCGTATTATTTGTATTTTTTTTAACCTTTTTGACAAATTATTTTTTTAATGACAAATTAATTATCTCAAGCCTGGCAGTCAATGGGTTAAAAAGAGTTTTTTTTTTAGTATTAAAAATTTTCCGATAATAACGTAAAAGACGAATCTTCCCAACTAATATTATTTGCTCATCCAATCATCACAAATTTAAAAGTTGTTATAAAACAAATTTCATTATGTTAATGACATAAAACCATCGCTTAGCAAGCTGTATAACATTAAAAATTTGTTATTAAAAAAATCTAAAACAATTCATTACATAATATAGAGTTTAAACGACTTTCTCGCGAGAGCAAATTATGTAAAAGAATTTTCGAATCTATTATGAGGAAGCGATTCGCGTGAGAGTCAAGTACCGTTCAACCGAATATAGCACGAAGAATTTTATAAGTTACGACGTTGTCACTTTCTCTCATTCGTCGGTTGTTCTGCGGTTTTTTAAATGTTACATTGAACTGTTTAAGATGACAAGAAGATTTTACATATTATTAATTATAAATACAAAAGCCTATTAGCTAGGCAATTAGCCTATTCTACGTAAATGCAGAAAGCTATTAAATGTTATTCGAAAATATGTAGTCTATTTTTTGTTCTACTTCTTTTCGCTTCCCTATAATAAAGAATATTACCTTCTTTTAATCTTTTTTGCTTGGCTCATACTGTTATTATTCATAGTTTGCAATATATTTCAATATTTTTTTAGCCCATTAAAGATAAACACCTCACTACTTTTGTATCATTTTAATCATCCTCATCATTTTTTTCATTTACCGTATACTCAATTTGTTTAGAAACTTCTAAGAGCTCTGGCATATGCTCACATAAATTGCTAACAAGTTATTCAATAACACACTTAAGCCTCAGTTTTCCATAGGATGTCTTTCTTGGGTAGTCACTGTTGTAAGTCGTTTGAAAACAATTAGCTTGGTCTACAGTCTAACGAAATATTTTGCCTACCACATAGGGTATTATTATGGAGGGTTAAAAATTGGGGACAGAAACTACTAAGGTGGAGATAGAGCAAGCAAAATAAATTACCAAATTGAAACAAAGGGGTACTTACATGGATCTCCTGGACAAATGGATAAACAAAACAACAAGAAGGACCTCTAGCTATTTAAAATGGACGCCGCTGGAAGGAAACTTCCTGCTGGATGAAAGAAAAGGTTCTTTCGTCTTAAAAAACACAAAAGAGAGGTTGAAAGACTTTTCTAAAATAAATAAAAAAAATCTAAATAATAGTAATAAATAATAAAAAAAAAAATCAAGAAACAGACTTACTATGTCCTATTTCTCATATATTAGTTGTTACAAAAAATAAATACAAAAACAAAGAGAAACACTTACTATGTTTTATCCATTTACAACATCTGTTTACAAGTGGGAGATACTACAAAACTTACAAAAAATTGTTACTGGGCTATAATTTGTAGCTACAAATAAAGAAATATCTTTTAAATGAAACTATTCATAGATGTTAACCTTTTTCTAAAAATAAAACAAACTAATGTCGAAAAATAAAACTAGCTGTCAGATATCAATATTGAATTTTAAAACAGAACAAATAATATTACAGCTAGACCACGCCCTAAGACATATAATTTTAATTATTACAATTATTTCAAATTCTTATAAAAGCAATTATTATTAAAAGTGTTTATTCTTCCTTTAAAAGTTAAAACAAAAAAAATTACCTGGATTTCACTCAAATGCACTTTAAAAGGTTTCTGGGGTCGGAAACTGGACTTACTAAAATTTCTGCCACTCGAACAAAAAACTACATCTCACACTGCAAATTATATGCTAAAACGCTTCTTAGGACTGACTATTTGAGGTTGAAGTTGGCACGGAACACAAAATTTGGAGCTCTGCTTCTTAAAAAGACTGGAACAATGTGGGTATATTTGTTGTACACGCCGTTTTATAAATATCTTATATGAGAGACGGCATACAACAAAAGCCAGTGATTACTTTTATTTCAACTGACACATTACCATGAGTACAAATCACTTTTTTTTTCGACAAATTTGCCGGTTTTTTTCTGACAAACTAAACACTTCTGCTCACGATGGGCACCTTTTCAAACTTGACTTTCGACTTTCCTAATACCACCGACTTTCTCTGCCACACTTTTCCTCTCTCAACCTTTCGAGCAACGAAACAACCCAAAATTCTTGATAAACACTGTATCTGACCATGCTTTTAAAATTGTAGAACTAAGAGGTAATATATGAATTATTTTATTACCAGCTTTTAAAAGAAATTTGTACCTAACCAGGAGCATACCATATAAATTTTATACTAAGGAATTTATTATGCAATACATTAAGCCCTAGTAGATATTTTTGCATAATCACTTTCATGAGATATCCCAAAATAAGTTTCACGAGGTCGCCCAGGCGAAAAGATTTTTTAAATAATGTTTTAAAGCAAATTGTAACAATCAGTTCTTGAACAAAATAGCTTTCTTCTAATTTTCCTGTAAACTTAATAGTTTTCGAGATCAAACTTAAACACAACTAAAACTATTATTTTTGAATTTAACAAGGACATACATTCAACTTCAAACCCTGTTCTATCATTTTCCGATAAGTATTTTGGACTTAATAAATTTTAAAAACATTGTTTTTCAATCGTTAATTAAGCGTTTATGACAGGGCAGACGCTCGTGCTGCGGCGAGTATAGGAAAGGAAAACACGATCTATGGAACATATTTTTGTTGGTTTGAATTCTCATTGCACAAATCAGCGCTTGCCTTACCATGCGCGGATTTTTTAGGTTTTTTAGATCATTATGAACAAAAAAGAGCTGTTGCAGTGTATAATCTGTCTATTTATTAAATTCGACTCAACTCAAATTCAATCGAAGCTTGAGTAGTGGACGATTTTTTCACTTGATAGCAGTGGCGGCTTTTCTTTATGTGCTGCTGAGCTGCAGAACTACCAAACAACCATAGCAAATCTTAATTATTAAAGAATAATTAATATAGTTTTATTTCAAATCTGCCATATTATCATATTAAACATCAACTGTTAATAATAATTCACCAACAACGATGATTAATATTATTTTTTTTACGTATTTACTCCTCTAGTGAAACCGTATAATTTTTTTACGTATTTGGTGCTCCAGTGAAGCAATCTTTTTACGTATTTGCTGCTCCAGTGAAGCCGCGTCGATAACAACCGAAACACTGGCAGCGGTAAAATGCATTTATTAGGCAAACGGCGATCTTAGCCGATGTGCTTCGGCAATCGGCTGATTAACGGCCTCGGAAATGTGTTTGCGAGCTGCAATTCACGACAGTTATTCGTGACCGTTGCATCTGTGCCGTGTTTAGAAATTCTTAGGTTACAATTTTGTTTAATTTGTTTTGTTCGAGCGTGTTTAAAACAATGGAGTTTCAATTTAAATTAGGTGTAAATAAATTTCAAAAACTTCACTATCAACAACAGTTGATTATAAAAGAACGTGGCCGTCCTATGCCTGATCTTAATATTGAAGTGTCCGGTAAAAGCCGTGGAAAAACATATACGCGTAAATTTAATAAAGACATGTATCTACGAAATCAGTGGATTTGTGGATGTTCCGAAAAAAATGCTTTTTTCTGTTTTCCGTGTGCATTATTCGGCGCAGATAAAGAGGAAAAATTGTGGCGCGAGACAGGAGTGCGGGATCTAGTGCATTTAAGTGAAAAAATAAAGAAGCATGAAAACACGCAAACTCATATGAACAATGAAATGCGATTTGCATTATTTGGGAAACTTAATATACAGGCCCAACTTGACTCTGCTTATTGGATAAATATACAAAAACACAATGAAGAGGTGACGAAAAACAGGTATGTTTTGTCAAAAATAATTGACTGTATAAAATTCTGTGGGGCTTTTGAGCTCGCCTTACGAGGACACGATGAATCTGAAACATCAGATAACCCTGGAATTTTTCGTGGTTTAGTGAATTTTTCTGCTGAACTTGATAAAACACTTAGTGAACACCTTACAAATGCGACAATTTTCAAAGGTACCTCAAAAACAATACAAAATGATATTTTGGATTGCATGCTAGAAGTATACGCTGAGGAGATTTTAAACGAAATCAATGAAGCCCCATTTTTAGCAGTGATAGCTGATGAGACAACGGATGTTTCTATGAAATTTCAAATGGTCATTGTTTTTCGTTATGTAAAAAACGGTGCTCCAGTTGAAAGGTTTTGGACTTTTTTGCTTCCAGAAAAACATGATGCTGAAACCTTAGCTAACACAATTTTGAATGTTTTAGACCCAATATTAAAGAATAACAAAAATAAGCTCATTGCACAAAGTTATGACGGAGCAGCTGTTATGAGTGGGATACATGGCGGAGTGCAAACAATAATTAAGAGAAAATATGAAACTGCTCATTTTGTGCACTGTTACGCCCATCAATTGAATCTAATAATGTCAAGAGCATGTTCTATTAATTCCCAAGTACGCGTATTTTTTGGAGATTTACATGATATACCTGGATTTTTTAGTCATTCACCTCAAAGAATAGCTGTCTTAAATCAAATAGTTGGAAAAAATATTCCTCGTTCAATCCCTACACGCTGGAATTTCAATATTCGTACAGTAAATGTCGTTTACGAATATAGAGACTTTATTATTGAGTGTATGGAGCAACTAGAAGAAGAGTCAAATGCTATTACTTCCAAGGAAGCAAGAGGACTTAGACGTATTCTGGAAGATCAAAATTTTACTTTCTGGCTGACTGTTTTTCATTATATTATGCCACATGTTGACGTTTTGTACAATAATCTTCAAAAAAAGAACATGGACCCAACCGAAGCACAGAAAGCTATACATGTTTTTGAGCAAAGTATTAACAATGTCCGAAATAAAATAGACCCTATCATACATCAAGCTTCAAATTTAAATGCGGCGCCTAGTGTCCAAAAAAGGAAACGCCCAAATAACAGCCAACAGGATCACCGTATTGCCTGTCTAGAAGTTTGTGATGTTATTATAAACAATGCAAAAGAACGGTTTGCATATACAAATCATCTAGTTGCCGCAACACTTTTATCTTCAGAACATTTCGAAAAATATAATAATAAGTTTCCTGAAAATGAATTGGATTTAACTTGTACAGCTTATAACTTCTTTGATAAAAACCGTTTGCGAACAGAACTGTCAGTTTTGTATTCCAATATCGAGTGTAGAACATTAAAAGGTGCAGTGCCTTTACTAAAATTTATAATTTCTAATAATTTAGAGGACACATTAACAGAAACCAAAAAGTTGATACAAATTCTGGTGACTACGCCAATGACCACAGCAGAAGCTGAACGTAGTTTTTCAACTTTAAAACGGATCAAAACATTTTTAAGAAATTCAATGTGCGAAGACAGATTAACAGCCCTTTCCACACTCTCGATAGAAAAAAAGTTCATCGCTTCAATACCGAACTTTAACGATAAAGTAATCGAAAAGTTTGCGACAAAAAAGGACCGGCGTATTAATTTCCAATTTAGAAAAATGCAATAAATGTAAGTTAATCAGATTTTTATAGCATGTCGTTATTAGTTACTATTAATTAGTATTAAAGCTAATTTTATTGTTTTTGTTTTCGTATGTTATTCTATTTCTATTATTTTATATTGACCGTGGTTCATGCAGCACACCCTATAGCAGATGTCACGAGCCGCCACTGCTTGATAGATACCTTAAGATTATTTTTGAGAGCGATATCTTTAAGTTTTGCCAATATCGAAACATATAAACTAATGTAATATTACCTTTTGCTCCACTGACGTTTGTATTAATTTACCTTAGTAGTTTCTGATATGGCAACATTGGTACGATTTAAATGTTCGATAAAACTTGAACTATTTACTATTTAACGTGTACTAACAAAAAGTCTAGTGTCAATAGGAAGTAAAGTAAAAGTAGTACATCGCCATAGTAGATAACATTTTTAGATCCACTTTTCCGACTTCGTTCGGAATGGTGCTAATTTTAGAACGTTACTCAGCAGTTTGTAATAGAGAAATACAATTTCTATATCAAAGTTTCAAAATAGGGGCGCATCCATAACTTAATTAAATTGTAATAAAAATGATTGTATTTATGCAGTTATACATAATCTTTTATAAAATTTATCTAATTATTTAACGAGTGATAACATTATTAAAAAGTACAGAATATTTGGCAGAATTCTAAAATAATATCTAAGGAAGAATATATTGAAATTATCTTCTTTACCAAAATTTACTGGTCTTACTTCTACCACTCCTGGAGATACATAATACCTTGTGTTTCCCATGTTCGCCCGTCTTGAGCTATCTGACAAGGGGGAATGTAAAAATAAAACAGGGGTGCACGAGGTCGTATAAACATCTTATGCAGATGAAGTTGCCTAAACCCGGGCCCCAACTTTTTTGTAGACGTGAACTTTTTTTTCTTGAACATTGCATTTTTGTGTGTTTGAGAAATGTTTCCTAATGTGGGCCCCTAAAAAATAGAGACAATTTTAAGAAAAACTTAAAAATAAAACACTAAATTTAAATGAACAAAATTGTAATTTTACATTGAAAATATAATAATTGACAGAAGTGCGACAATAATCGCATATATAGTTGTCTTCTGCTGCGCCTGCGCACTCAATGTGAGCCCAAAGGAAACACAAAAAGCATTTAACCCAACGCTCTCCCTTACAATCATCTGAAAATTTAACACAATAAAACAAACACTTCCCCATCCTCTTCAACTGTGACGGAAGATACACCTAGTGGAATTTCTAACTCAGAAGAACCTGAGGATATGGTACCATCCTAGTCTTCTCCGGAGCTATCCCTTGAACTTAAAACTTTTCTTAGTTTTTTCTTTTCCTTGCAACGGGAGACATTTTGAACCACGACTTTTAACACGTGTCGGTTGTTTACTGGTCTTAGCTACTTTCTCCTCTCTAATTGTTACAGCCTCTTCTAATTGCGATTTGTAAGGAGAATAAGTAAGTGCTGAAGTGCTTGTTGCTTCACGTCCTCTAGTAGAAGCTTTTTTCTCAATTTTCGGTATGGAGTTACGAAATGGGCTTGTAAGAATTTTGCTGTGTTCTATGTTCATCCTGAGGTTGGCTCTGGGTAGAATTTTGTTTCCCTGAGGATGACAGGTTAGCTTGACAGGATCCAGATGACTTTGACGGAGAAATTAAATCAGATGCTCTTGATGTTGATGGTACAGCCAGGTCAGCTTGAAACTTGAAACATGGTCCTATCTAGCGGAATGAAATTTTTTATTGCATTAAAGCCTTGCTAATGCATTAAAGACCAAAGAATTTTATAAAATCTGCCACAAAAGGAGAAATTTGCTTTTAGAACTAGAATTCTCAGCAGTAAAATATGGTGGAAAAAAGATGATCAGCAGCTGATCATTTACAATAAACTAAAACCAAGAACGATACTGCACAAGAAGAGTACCAAGTGAAGGTTATTTATTTTTAATTGTACGTATATGCTAGACTTGCGTGATTCACTCTATACATTTAAATTTACATTTAAAAAGCGCACATTTAAATTGAAAAGTTGACGAGACCCAGCGATTTTTTTAATTTTCTAAAATAAGGACACAGACACTTTTATTCCATAAGTGATTTACACACTTTTACATTATTTGTTTCGTTTAAACCGGTATTTTTTTTTCTTTTAGACTTCTTTTCCAATGAAGATAGAAGCTCTGCACATCGTCAATCAATCCTGGGTATTCGATATGTGCTACAATATTTTTAAACCGTTTTTAGATGACAAGATGAAGGAGAGGATATATTTCCACGGCGAAGACATGGAAAGCCTACACCGACATATAGATCCAAAGCATTTACCGGAAAGGTAAGAATAAAGAATAAAAATTAATAAAGCAACAAGGTTTTTTCCCTAGCGAAGATCCTTTAAAACGGTGCAAATTCAGACCCTGTTATGTATTTCAATGACAGTAGTTTCGACTGCAGTTGATCTTGTGTCGAAATTCTCTACTTTTAGTATGTGTTTCCCAATGTACCAGTAGTCTCTTTTACTAAAGTAGTTGATATACTGTTTCTAGTACATTGTCATTCAAATATTGTACAGTTAAGCTTTTACATCTTTTGTTATAAATTACTCGAGCTGTATCATTTGCAAGTTCATCTTAAGATAGTAAAACTGAGACACCGGCTTGTTCTAGTAACAATTTTACTCTGGATAAGTAGTTGATGAAATTATTACCATAGAGCGTTTGATGTTTATAACTTAATTTATTTCCGTCATTTTGTCATTGCATTCCGTACCACATTTTCTGTAAAAACTTCCTTTCCTTATTACCACTATGTAAGCTTCTTTAATTCCTACAACTCTGGGACCATAACTTCTAAGGATGCGTGGTTGGGAATAATCTGCTTACGTAGAATATTATAGAGTATGCAATTTGTGATTCTTTATTAACTTTGTTCTCAGTTACGTTTTCTCTATTTTCTGCATTCCTAGATTCGGCTTCATTTAGGGGAGAACCCTAAATTCTTCCCATTATTTCTTCATTCGTTCTTCTTCGCCAGATGTTCCCCTCTTTTACACCTCCGTATATCCTTCTAAGAATTTTTCGTTCCCATCTATCTAATTTTACTTCCATATCTTTATTTAGTGTCCAGGTCTCGCTAGCATAGAGTACTGTAGGTCGGATAACTGTTGTATATATTCGTTTTTTTGCTGTTCTGGATATTATCTTCGACCTCAGTATCTTAGTCAGGCTCCCAGCACTCTTACTACCTTTGGCCATTCTTTTTATGATTTCTTGGTTCTCTTCGTTCCTATTTGTTAGTGTCACTCCCAAGTAGTCGAATTGGCTAACAACTTCAAAGTTATATTCTTTACTTGGGCTTTGTACCTTAAAGGACTCTCCTAGATGATTTTCGTTTCCCCTCATCACCATATATTTTGTTTCTTCTTCGTTTATTTCTAAACCATATTCTCTGGCTATTCTCTCTATTCTAATAAAGATTTCTCTTAATTTTGCAGGTCTCCTTGTTATTAAGGTAACATCATCTGCATATGCTACACATTGATGTCTGTGATGATATATTGTGCCTCTAGTGTAGATGTTACATTCTCGTAAAATCTTCTCTAAGATCAAATTGAAAAAATCTGTTGATAACGGATCACCTTGTCGCAGACCTCTATTGGTGATAAAACTATCCGAAACCCGTCCTTCTAACATGACTTTACTTTTAGTATCATTGAGTATGCATTTAGTCAGTCTTACTATTTTTGGTGGAAATTCAAAATATTCTAGTGCTTCATATACTTTATTTCTTTTTATAGTATCATATGCCATTCTAAAATCAATAAACAGCATGTGTACTGTTAGGTTGAATTCATATGAGCTAGCTAGAATTTGTTTCATTGTAAAAATTTGGTCAGTTACCGATCTGTTTGCTCTGAAACCTGCTTGATATTCACCTAGACAATTTTCAACTTTTGTTTTAATTTTATTTCTAATTGATATGGCCAAAATCTTATACACTGTATCTTGTAGAGCTATTCCCCTGTAATTTTTACATTCTGTAACGTCTCCTTTTTTATGCACTGGACATAAGACTGCTTCTTTCCACTGATTGGGTATTTTTTTCTTTGATCCACACTTCGCGTATTAACTCAGCGATTTCTTCTTGTACCATTTCGCCACCTTCTTTTAAAAACTCAGCAATGATACCATTTTCACCAGGTGCTTTGTTGTTTTTTAAGTTTTTTATGATCTCTATAATTTCTTCCTTGGTAGGTACTTCTTCATTTACATCTGCGTCCCTTACTTCTTCATGTTGTAGTTGCGTTTGTTCTCTTTCATCTTGGTCGTCCGTACATAATAATATGTTCTCAAAATAACTGGCCCACCTTCTTAATTTTTCATCTGTTCCACCTAACAGATTCCCCTCTTCATCTTTATAATATCTTGATGTGGTTTTGTACTGGGTTCGGTCTCGTTTTATTTCTTGGTAGAAATTCCTGACTTGTTTATGTAAAAAATCTTCTTCAATACGAACTAGTTTCTGATAGAATTTTAATACCAACACATTTTGATCTTAAATCGGTAATAATTTAAAAAATCTATTGAACCCACTGCAGTAATCATAGTGGCTTTAGTTATTAAAGTCCATAATCTTATTTCTCTGTATTGTAAATTTATTTCTGTACGTTGGTAACAAATTACGACAATTATAATTAAGTTGATTGTGGTGGAACAGATTTGAAACTCATGATGTTTAAAAATATCCTTTCTCTAACCATTCTATAGTTATTTTGCTAATTTTTTACATTTTAGATATGGAGGAATTCATCCCGACTACAACTATAACGACTGGATAGAAGGCTTCCTTAAAAACGATCAAATACTGAAGGAGATGACTTCTTTGGGATATAAAATTAATGATGAAGATGAAAGTGACAGCGACGCTGAAAGTAAAGACAAGCTAGAAAATGATGAGCAGTGATAATAAATCGATTAGAAACAATGATGTGACATCTAATGGTTTTAAAAACACTGCCCACAGTTACTCGAGCCTTTGGTAACTAAAATCGTCTTGCACAATGGTCCAGTTAGTGGTATTAGGATAGAAGCTTTACTGATCAGTTATTTATTGCAGTTTAAGTTACACATTATTTGTATTAGGTAATAAATTTATAGCTGCGACTAGCGTTTGTTTGCTTTTTTATAAAGTAATGATGTTGTTTAAAAATAAAGTATTTTAATAAATTATATTTTTTTAAAATATATTTTTTAAAACACAAGAAACCCACATGTATACTAGGGAAGTAAAAAGTCGACATGAAAAATCCATAATTGACTATATACTATTATAGTTGAAAGCAATGTTAGAAGAAAAGTAATGAAAACAAAAGTACACAAAGGGCCGAAATAAGCAGCGACCATTACATGGTAGTAACAAAGATACAAGAAAAAATAAAATGGAGAAAAAGTAAAGAAAAATGCATGAAAACAATATCTGAAAGACAAAACAAATGAAACTTACTATAAATATAAAAATAAAAGAAAAAAGGTAAATATATTTGTAACAGCAGCAAATAGAGACAATTGGGAAAAGTTTGAAGAGAACATTAAAAATAAAAATGAAGAATTAATAACAGAAACGAAAGAAATAGTTAAAAGATGAAAACAACACTTCAAAGAACTGCTAACGGATATAAACCAAATCGACATTGAAGAAGAACAAAATAATATATTGAAAGATAATACAGAAAACTCGATAAACGTGGAAAAACTAGGAGCAATAAAAAAGTTGAAGTATGGAAAAGCTCCTGGAGTAAATAACAGAAATTATAACAAACATGGGGAAAAATGAAGAACAAATATTACTAAAAATAATGAAAAAAATATGGAAAAACGAAGATATACCGGAAGATTAGAAAGTGTCACTGATAGTACCCATATACAAAAAGGAAAGAATATAATAACTACAGAGACTTGACGTTGCTCTGTACATGTATGAAACGCTTAGAAAAAATAATAAACAAACGATTACGACCAATGATAGAACATACATTAGACGAATCCCAAAGTGGATTTACAAGTGGTAGGAGTAGGTATACAGGATCATATATTTACTTTAAGATAGGTAACATAGAAAGCACTACAAGAGAAAAAAAAAGTATACGTAGCATTCCTTAAAACAGAAAAAGCCTTTGATAAAGTACCAAGAAAGAAACTATGGAAAATATTGAGAGAAAAAGGAATCGACAACCAAGTTACTATGAATGATACAAAAAATATACAATGAGAAAAACAATAGCGTAATTGTCAATGAATAGTGAAAAAAAAAACAATAAAGAGTGGGAAAAGCCCTGGACCTGACATGCTTTCTATAGAAATCCTAAAACTTTTAGATGAGGAGCACATTGACGTTTTAGTGGCACTCTTGAACCAAATTTATAGTTTAGGCGTATTGCCCAAAGAGTGGTTAACGTCGATTTTTATTTGTCTCCCCAAAATAAAAAATGCAAGAAAATGCAGTGATTACCGCACCATTAGCTTGATGTCTCATGTGCTAAAGTTCCTACTAAAAGTCATCCATAACCGAATATATCCCAAACTGGACATAGACGTTAATGATACAGAATTTGGTTTTCGCAAAAGCCTAGGAACGCGTGAAGCTGTTTTTCACTTAATATACTGATACAAAGATGCCTGGACGTTAATCAAGATATATACGCATGTTTTTATAGACTATAAAGCATTCGATAATGTACGACATGAACAATTAATGAATGTCCTGAAATCAAAGAAGATTGACTACAACGTACGTGTTAACGAACGTCAAAGTATGTGTTAACATACAGCTATCAGAAGAAATTGAAATTAGACGTGGGGTGAGACAGGGATGCATATTGTCGCCAATTCTTTTTAATGCCTGCTCCGAAGAGATCCTGAAAAAAGCTCTTGAGGGTGAGACAGCTGGAATAAAGTTACCATTAACAACATTAGATATGCGGACCACACTGTGATCCTAGCCGAAAATATTGAAGATTTTCAGAGACTGGAGATCAGAATAGCGGAGTATGGAAAAGAGTACGATCTAACAATGAATATTGTTCTGAAGCTATTTTCTTGTGGCATTGTAAATTAATTACTATTTATAACTGGGAATAAGCCACAATTAAAGATAAAAATACGTTTATTGACGTTTCAATTTCCAATTCGGAAATCGTTCTCAAAATACAAACAGTAAATTTACTGTTTGTATTTTGAGAACGATTTCCGAATTGAAAATTGAAACGTCAATAAACGTATTTTTATCTTTAATTGTGGCTTATTCCCAGTTATAAATAGTAATTAACTAACAATGAATGTCAAGAAGACGAAATTTTTGAGAAAATCGAAAACTCAAAGAAATAACGAGAATCTTCTAATAAACGAAACTAATGTCGAACAAGTGGACAATTATGCATATCTGAGAACCATGATTAACTCCACAAATGATTACATTCAGGAGATCAAAATCAGAATTGAAAAGGCTAGAGAAAATTTCAACAAAATGATAAGAGTGCTATGTACAAGGAATTTAAAATTGGAACTAAGAGTTAGGTTAGCGAGGTGCTATGCTTTTTCGACTTGGTCTTATGGAATGGAATCTTGAACCTTGAATGTGACATCAATGAAAACACTAGAGTCATTCGAGCTGTGGGTGTATAGAAGAATTCTGAAAATATCGTGGACAGAACACTTCACAAACAAAGAGGTTCTAAGAAGGATAAATAAAGAAATAGAAATTTTAAATTTAATTAAAACAAGAAAATTGAAATATCTCGGACATATTACACGTGGAGAGAAATACACCTTGCTTCAACTGAATATGCAGGGAAGGATCCAAGGAAAGAGAAGTATAGGGAGGCGTAGAATGTCATGTCTGAGCAACGTGAGAGAGAGAGAGCCGCCTCAAAAGTCTAAATAGCTATGATGATTGCCGACCTACACCGCTTAGCTGGCACTTGAAGAAGAAGATACCTTTACAATAAATGGAGTCTTAAGACAAGGAGGGCCACTTAGTCCAACACTATTAATAGTATTTATGGACGATAATTATTAAGACATGCACAACACGAAGTAAGAAACTGAATAAAATATTTAGAAATCTGCAAAGAGTAGAAATCTTAGAAAGAATATTTATTGACGATTTGGTGCTAATTGCAAAAACTGAAAAAGAAAAAACAGAATAATTTGAAAATATGGAAAGAAATACTCACTGAAAACAGAATGGAGATACGTATTAACCACACAAAAGTCATGCAGATAGGAGAAACAAGAGAAGGACTTAATATAGAAATTTAAGGAAGAAAAATAGAACAAATTCAAACTTTTACGTACTTAGGAGTAATAATAGAATAAACAGGATCTCTAGCAGGAGCAGAAATCAATAGCAGAGTAGAGAAAACGCTACAACTGTATCATACAATGAACAAAAAATTTATATGCAGAAAAGGAATATTACGGTATAAAAAAATGAAAGTTTTCACAGCAGGTTAAAGCCCTGTCCTGCCTTTTGGCAGCGAATCATGGGTACTTACGGAATGGCAAAAGAGCAAGATACACGAGATGAAGTTTTTAAAACGAGTTAAGGGCGTTACCAAAATGGATAGAATAAGGAACACAGATATAAGGAACGAACTGAAAATATAATCCACATTGGAGTCTATAGAAGAGGAATAGCTGAGTTAATGGGGTTATTTACACAGGATAAAAGACACCATACCAGTAAGAAAAGTGTGCGAAAAATATTGAAAAATAAAAAAAGAGAAACACCAAGGCAGATATGGACTGAAGCACACGACTGGTTTAACATACATAAGATTAGAGAAATTACGGGAAGCTGCAAACACAAGCATGGAAATAAACTTATTGACGGCAACGGACAGATAGTATCAGACAACGAAACAAAAATACGAGCATAGAAATAATTTATAAAAGACCTCTTTCAAGATGAAAGACTTGGTCGAATATTATGAAACTAAGAATATGAAAAACAGAAAGGCTTCTGGTTTGGATGAGATACCTGTGGAACTAATAAACTTATTAAACAAAAATAATATACATGTGCGTACTAAACTTTTAAATACAGTCTATAAAATCTTAGAAATACCGAATGATTGACTGTCCACTGCCTTGATTGTAATCCCTAAGAAAAACAACACCACTGTAAACCAATGCTACTCAAAGTACATCGCTAAAATATACCTCAACATGGCCACCACATATAATGCTTGGTCACTCTCTACCGAGAAAAGATTCGAATAAATGGAGAAATAACTCTTAAAAGTAAATTGTGGGTATAAGTGAAATAAGAAAAAACGAAGAGACTCTTATCACACTCCCATCAGGTCAGTTATGGTACTACAAAGAAGAAGAATCGACAGTCAGAGGTGTCGATTTTTTCATTCACCAAAGAATTGCCAACAGGATTCTGTCCAGAAACCAAATCTTAACTAGGATTACAATAAAGATCGTTCAACTGTACGCCCCTATTACAGGATATTCAGACGAAGAAGTCCAAATATTCTACGGTCAAATATACTGTCAATTAAGGAAAATTCTGGCCACTTTTAAATAATAGGTGGTTTTTAAAACAATCTCTCTTAAATGAACAGCTTTTTTAAAAAGAAAAACCAAAAAAAAAGAGAAAGCTGTGATAAACATAAGAAACGAAATTCACGATTTATTAACAAACAAAAAGAATTATTTAACGACGTAAATATGTTAAACTAGTTTAGTACAAGCAGTGATAGGTTTTTAAGAGCAAAAATAAAGATATCCGAAAAAGAAAGACTAAAAAATGATAAGTATGAAACAACCAAAAAAAAAAAGGAAAAATCCAACTAATTTCAGGAGTTCGAAAAATCAATAACAACAGACATTAATATATTGAACAAACAAATAGTCAACAATAGAACAGGCTCAAAGTAAATATTGTCCAACAAACAAAAAGGATGAACAATCAAGTCAACTTACGAAAACCCTTATAGACCAAAGGCTACAGATGAAAGAATATAACAGTTGTAAGCGAAGAAACCCTAAACAAAATAAATAAGACGATCACAAAGGCAATAAGAAATGACCTAAGTTGTCATAATAAACTTTTTTTAATTTTTAATTTAATTTCAAAACAAATAATTCGAAAGTCCAGCGATTAGTTTTTATAAAATTATTCTAAATAAACATTCATCTTTAATATTCTAAGATTTG